CTGGATAGTGCGCCACGTGGGAGGCGCGGTGGCCCTCCCGCCCGAGGGTTTGGATCCCACATACGGACCGGTTCCCGCTCACTGGCTGAGCGAGGCGCGGGGGCAACGCCGAGGGTTGTGATCCCGTTGCCAGTCCCGGTCCGGTGCAGGGGCGACACTGAGGGTTGCGATCCGTTGCCGGACACGGAAAAAAGACAAAAAAAAAAAAAAGACACATTACATATATGGAAAACAGTTATTTGAATGACTATAAATTTCTCATCAGAAACCCTGGAGATTAGAAGATAGTTAAATAACATTTTTAAACTACTGAAAGAACTGTCAACACAGAATTCTTTATCCTACAAAAATATCTTCTAGGAATCAAGGCAAAACAGAGACATTCTCAGCAAAACCAAGATAATTTGTTGCTAGAAAATCTGCTGTGAAAGAAATGCTAACAGAAGTTCTTCCAGCTGAAGAGAAATGATACCAGAAAGAAATGTGGAACTTCAGGAAGGAAGAGCACAAAAAATAGTAAATATTTCTTTACCATTTCTTATAAAGTAGAGACTATGGTTCCTCTCTTAAGTTCTTTAAAATACATATGACTGATGAAAGGGATTTTCAATGTACATAGATGTCATACATCTCACAATTATAACATAAAGGAGGGTGGATAAAGGGACCTATATGCTAGTAAGGCTTCAATATTTTACCTGAAGTAGTAAAATATTAACTCTATGTAGACTGTGAAAGGTTAGATACACATATTGTAATCCCTGCAGCAATCACTAAAAAAGTGATACAAAGAGATATAGCCAAAAAGCTGATTGATAAGTTAAAATGGAATACTAAAAAAAAATTCAAATAATCCAAAAGAAGGTAGGAAAGGGGAAACAGGAAAGACAAATAGAGAGGGAAAACAGAAAAACAATGAAATAGTCTACCCAAATCTAACTATAACAACAATTACATTAATCGTAAATGGTCTAAACACACAAGACTGGACTTTAAAAAACCAAGGCCCAACCACATATTGTCTACAAGAAGCCCACTTTAAATAAAACTACATAATAGATTAAAAATAAAAGGATGGAAAAAGATATACCAAAAAACATTAATCAAAAGAAAGTTGGAGGGGCCAGCCCGTGGCTCACTTGGGAGAGTGTGGTGCTGATAACACCAAGGCCACGGGTTCGGATCCCATATAGGGATGGCCGGCTCACTCACTGGGTGCG